GACAAAAAAAGAATTTGCTCAGCCTTCACCATGATGCCTGAATGTGCCACAGGGGGAGACTGCCTCTGCCCATGTGCAGAGTGCATTTTCCATTTTCAAAAGTAACCACAGCTGGCCTGGACATGTCTAGTGCATGGCTTCCAGGCCAGAGAACAACAACCTGATGCAGAAGCTAGCAAAAACAGCTGAATAAACAATAATAGTAATAATGATAATAATGCTATTTATTTTTAACAACCTATCCCTAAGGATCAAGGCAGGGGACAACAACAGATTGGACACATAACACCAGCTGAAAAACACTTAACGTCAGTTCAAAGAGCATATAAAGCCAATACATATTAAAAGCAATCGATTCATGCTTTTAAAACTCATAATTTAAAAATCATCTGGATAAGCCTGCCAGAAAAGACTGATTGTTAGTGCTGAATTTTTTTTTATTCATTCATTAAAGCAAGTCAAAACAAAACAAAATTAGGATGAACATAGGTTATCACAACAGTACACATATCACATGGAAGAGAGAGGGTCTTCTTGGAGAGGTCTCATCCATAGGGCCGCCATGAGTCGAGATCCACTCGAGGGCAGTTAATAATAACATATTGAGGATAGAAGGAAGGAATGGTATTGTAATTATAGCCAATGGTCTTTACAATACATAAAAGTAAAATATATACCGTAGAAACAGAATGAAATATATACACGATTAAAATAGTAGTTTTAAGAATGTTGTACCTAACTTTACAACTATTTAACGAAACCCAGCAAATCAAAAGTCTGAGATTCATATCTACATTATTGTATATTTCTGAATAAAGTGAGCCCGCAGTTCCTTGGCAGCCGAGTGTGTAAGAAATAGCTGCGTATCAGCTAGCAGCTCCACAACTATTACCTGAGGTGTGCAGTCTGTATATAACTGAATAACGGGTGACACAAATCTTTGTCTAGGTGAGGAGTAAAGGGGGCAGAACATCAAATAATGAACAATATCCTCTATCTGATTACAACAGAATACTCATTTTCTGTCTATAACCCGGGTGCCTCTACATCTCCCTTCAAGATAAGCAAAGGGCATCTGCTGAAACTGTAGTTCTCTGAAAGCCCCACGGAGCCGGGTTTCAAAGTATTGTGGCTTTGCATGGTTGATTTGCATCTGTGGGTACCAGATAGAGAATGGTGCCCCAGCTATGGTTGCTCTATCTTGGTTAGCATCACAATCAAATACCCAGTTCTTAAGGTCACGAGGACTAAGCCTGAAATACTTTTGTATGCTGAGGTTATAAACATTTAGTTTAACTTGGCACAACTGTGTCCGTCCACCAACGCTAAGTTCCTCCAGCCATCAGAGTTTACTGTGGGAATGGTCCTATAGAGGATGTGGAGCAAGCTTGTTTTCTGCTGCTCCAGAGAATAGGACCTGGAACAATGGATGCAAGCTACAGGAAAAGAGAATCCACCTCAATATTAGGAGGAATTTCCTAAATGCTGTTCGACAGTGGAACACACTCCCTTGGAGTATAGTGGAGTCTCCTTCTTTGGAGGTCTTTAAACTGAGGCTGGATGGCCATCTGTCACAGGGAATGCTTTGATTGAGAGTTCCTGCATGGACTAGATGGCCCTTGGGGTCTATGAGGAAGGCATAGGAGGGTACTCACCCGAAAAGAGCCCCCGTCCAGCTTTCTCATGGCCTCCCTAAGGCTGACAGCAGCCCCACTGAACAGTCCCAGTTCCGGACTGAGAGCAAGCGTACGCATAATCGTCTCTGGGCAGGCACACGACGTGGCTTTTTATGCGCTTCTCACGCCACTCCCCAGACACTTACACACATACGCACACCCCATGGCATAATATTTACGCCATGTGATGCCCTTCCCTTTTTCTGAGGTGGAGGGGGGAAGAAGAGAAGGAAAGGGCAAAAAAAGAGCAAGCGATGAAGATGAAGGCGATGCCCGCAGGCTGCCAAGCAACCAAGCGGGAGGAAATCTTGCAAGAAATTTTCCATGACAGCAAAACCAGAGAGAGAGAGAGAGAGAGAGAGAGAGAAAAGAGAACACAAACAAAAGAGAGAAAGAACGAGGCAGGGGTTTTGTAAGCTGGCTCTTTGGCCTTTGGTTGGCAAGAAGAGAGCAGGGCTGCTGCTGTCACAATGCAGGATTAATTTAGTTTGACACTGTCTTTAACTGCCATGCTATGGAATTTGGGGATCTATAGTTTTGGGTGTGTGTGTAGGGGACTGCAACTCCCAGCATCCACCAGCCATGCTGGGTAAGGGGGATACTGGGAACTGATCTCTGTATATGTGGGGAGACTTCAACTCCCAGCATCCTCCAACCATGCTGGGTAAGGGGGATACTGGGAACTGATCTTTGTATATGTGGGGGGACTGCAGCTTTTAGCATCCATCAGCCACGCTGGGTAGGGGGATACTGGGACCTGATCTCTGTATATGTGGGGGGACTGCAGCTCCCAGCATTCACCAGCCAAGCTGGGTAGGGGGATTCTGGGAATTGTCCTCTGTATGTGGTGGGGCATGGGGGTGCTTCTGAATTGAGTTGTAGTTTCCACCAGATAAAATGGGGTCAGGCCAAAGTATCTTCTAGCCATGCTGGGTAAGGGGATTCTAGGAGCTGGCATCTATGTATGTGTGTCCACATTTCTGGGTGTTTCTGGATTCTGGGAGTTGTAGTGAGGTTAGGCATATAATTTTGAGATATTTAGCCTTCTCTGTCAAAGAGTGCTGGTGGCACGACAAACTACAAATCCCAGGATTCCACAGAATGGAACCATGACAGTTAACTGCATTAGCCTTCGATACTAATGCATCTAAGTTAAGACGTCTAACGTTTCCTACATTTCAGCATCCTGTCCAGGAGGAAAGCTAAAATGTCCTTTATTTCCACCACAACTAAGAAGCATGAATGTATATTTATATTTATATTTATATTATGAGTGTTTTTAGCTTTTCTTTGGTAATATCCTACATTTCCCCTTGAACGTCCTGCATTTTGTCCTCTTTTGCAGTGATGACGCCAGGTCACCCTGGGTGGTATCAAATGGCTATAAATGTGGCACAGATATGCCGCAGATCTCCCCTGTTCTAATGCACCATCAGTTTTCAAAACCTAAGCAAAGCAGGCTGCAACAGCAGAAAACCAGGATGGCACAGAGGTAGGTCAACACAACCTGTCAAGGTGAAGATCACACATCCAAAGTTGCAGCCAATTTTTAAAAAGTTCCAAAATCTTTCTGGCAGGGGATGTGTGCCTGGTCCTCATGCAAGCATCACATGTTTCCATTTGTTTTGCTAGTTCCCATCATCACAAACTCCATGTACTCTCCATCTGGGTGACACAGATGTACCAATTCTCCGCCAGCCTCATGAGCAAGCTCCCAGGCTGGGGGCAGATGGAATCAGAACTACCATATTTGTTTCCAAAGAGGGTTCAAAAACAACAGATCTTCTGAAAAAGTCAGAAAAAAGAAAATGAAAGTCTTGCCACCGTTCCTCCGCCTTGAGCCTCTATAAGCGGGTTCACTCTGTCTCACACCTTCCTTTCAGCCTTGGAGGACTCATTTGGGTACACAGGAAAATCTGAACGCACCAAGAATTTGCAAAAAGCCTCCGCCATCATTCTAATGATGTATTTTATTTTTGAAGTCTAAGCCATCACCACACTCTGTGGAAATCCCAGACCATCCAGCTGGAGTTGGGCTTCTGCAGATGCCCCTTTCTTTCCCCATCCCTAAATTTTAATCTCATTTGCAGTTTCACTCTAGCGCAACAAAATTTTAAGTAAATATCCAAAGGTTGCTGTGTTGGCCATTTAGCAAATTCAAACAAAAATTCATCAGTGATACCTTTCTTGGCCAACCAAAATGCACAATATACTTGTTGCAAGCTTTCGAAGCTCCATGGGCTTCTTCATCAGGCAAGATGTTACAAACCAAGCAGGAGAAAAACCATTGGAGATGTTAAGTCAAAAACCATTGGAGATGTTCATCAGGCAAGATGTTACAAACCAAACAGGAGAAAATCCATTGGAGATGTTAAGTCAGTTAATAAACATGTTGTTTCAATCTTTAGTTAATATGGTATACGGTGGGGAGGATCTATTTTGCAGACAAGATCCTCCTCCTTCTGGCCATGATGCGGCTATAGGGAGATTTTCCAAGTCCAAGAAATTTAAACTCCATTTGCATCTCAACAGGGACCCCTCTTTTGCAATTCAATATGTCTCCATAAAAATTACACAAGAAAATGTACATTCTGACTATAGTTTCAAAGACAAAATGCACACACAAAGAAAATAATGCAAAATTAGACTTAAAAGAAAAACAGTATTATTTGGACTGAAGCATATTAAAAGGCCACTTTGTTATCCTCTCCCCTCTTCTTGAGAACATGAAAACCATCACCCCTTATTATTAATATTGCTATGTGCCATTACTATTTGTGCTACCAAAACTTGGTAATACTCTTATTCTGAAAAGTACATTCCAACCACAAGAAATTATTCTACATTTTAGACTTTACAGTTCAAATAGGCAACCAGTTGTGTTGGACTGCAACTTCCATTCCCATTTAGAAAGCAGAGATTTCTGAAGGTCTGAATTATGTTGTTATATTTCCAAAAAAAAAAAAAGAGCACCTTTTCAGGAGTGGCACCCCAACTAATTTTTGTTTTACTTAATTGCTTGCTGCGTTCTGTCAAGCAAGGAAGGGTCAAGTGCAACCAATGCGCCACAAACAGCAATTTTTGTGCCTCCATGTGGTCAGTTGTGTTGTGTTCCAAATTTTGTTGTGTGCCACCACATTTGGAGGCCACCTTTGTTTTGTTGTAGTGTGCCTTCAAGTCATTTCTGACTTACAGCAACCTAACGTGAACCTATATCATGGGGTTTTCTTGGCAAAATTAGTTCAGAGGAGGTTTGCCTTTGCCATTGCCTTCCTCTGAGGCTGAGAGCATGTGCCTTGCCCAAGGTCACACAGTAGGTTTCACAGCCAAGCTGGGAATCGAACCCTGGTCTCCAGAGTCCTAGTCCAACACTCAAACCACTACATCATGCTGGCTTTCTGAAGGCCACCTGATTTCTTCAATGTCAATTAAAAAGTTACAAAATTTTCCAAAAACCCCCCCCTCAATTTTTTTTGTCCCATATATGGAGCATTTCCACCATATTTTGGGTCCTCCCAGAGCCAATCTGGACCCAATACATTAATAAAATAAATTAAATAAACATGTAAAATGTATTAACATGGATTAACCCTAATATTAACCATAATAAACAGAGAAGTCCAAACAAGAGAACTGGTGACGATACAGACCAAAGAAGACATTCCTTTTCATATTAAAAAGAAGAAGAGAAAGAGGTATGAAGTTTTCCCGCAAGGATCCAGATCCCCTCCAGTGCCACTCGGGGGATCGCTAGAAAATATGCCAAGAGTCCATTATGCAATACAACCACATAGAGAGCAAGGCAGCAATGTGGTTGGGAAAACAGGTATCAGCACTCCCAGGGAAGTATCACCCTTCCTAGGGAGTGTGTCATTCCACCCGAGAGGCTCTCTTCCCGGCTGCAAAAGAACTCCACTGGTTTCGGTGTCTCATCAAAACGCAGGTCCAGCAAAGATAAGCAAGTGAGAAAGTGACTCAGCCAGGCGCTTGGCTGCCTTTGGAAAGCCAGGAAATGAAACACCTCTCCGGCTGAGACAAAATTCCACCTGGAGCAAATGAAGCATCCCGGAAGTTACACAGAAAGCGCCAAGCCTTGTCTGGAAGCCAGATCACTGCCTAAAGGTCCTCCCAGGCTGCATCTCCTCCTTTGGCGGTCTTTAAACAGAGGCTGGATGGCCATCTTATCGGGTATGCTTTGATTTTGAGTTCCTGCATGGCAGAATGGGGTTGGACTGGATGGCCCTTGGGGACTCTTCCTACTCTATGATTCTATGATCTACACTGCAGAAACAATCTAGTTTGACACTACTTTAATTGCCATGGCTCAATGCTATGGCATTCTGGGCACTGTGGTTTGTTTTCCACTTGTTTTGCTAGCTCCCATCATTTTTTCCGCTTGTTTTGCTAGCCCCCATCATCACGAACAACATGATGTACCCCACTTGGGTGACACAGATGTCACTACAGTTCCCAGAATTCTATAGCACTGAACCACGGCTGTTAAAGCGGTGTCAAATCAGATTATTTCTGCAATGTGGATGCAGCACGGGCCCTTGGTGTCTGCTGGGGTTTGATTCCAGTATTCCATGTTGATACAAAACTCTGTGGATGCTCAAGTCCCACTAAATACGACAGCACTGTAAAATGGTGCCTTTTATAATAAAATGGCAAAATTAAGGTTTGCTATTTCAAATTTATACTTATCTGTTTAAATATTTGTAAGACATAGATGCTTGAATCCATGAATCAAGAATCTATGGATACAGAGGTCCAACTGTACTGAAGACACAATGAGCAAGGAAAGGCACTCTGTACATTCTCAAGGGGATGTAATAAACAGAATCCTGGGATTTGCAGTTTGGGGAGGCAGTAGAGCTCTCTGGATGAGAATTCTAAACATCTCACAAAGCTACAAATCCCAGGACTCCATGGGAGAGAACCACAACAGATAAAGTGATTGCTCTGTTCCTTTGTCCTTAGTTTACTTCAACTGCTGCAAACTGAGTTCAAAGTATAAAAGTAGTTTGCACTCAGGCTGCGGCCACACTGAAGAATTCATGCAGTTTGAGACCGCTTCAGCTGTCATAGCCCCATCCTATGGAATCTTGGGCTTTGTAGTCTGTTGTGATGCCAGAGCTGTCTGGACGAAAGCCTAAATATCTCAAAGGCTTGCATAAGTAGACAAAAACAAGTTGAACCTTCTTTGTTGTTCTAGTGTGCCTTTATTTCCGACTTATGGCAACCCAAAGGTGAACCTATTGTAGTGTTTTCTTGGCAAGATTTGTTCAGAGGAGGTTTGCCATTGCTTTTCCCTGAAGCTGAGAGCATGTGCCTTGCCAAAGGTCGCCCAGTAGCTTTCAACGCTCAAACCACTATGCCATAATGGCTCACAAGTGCTGCCTGAAAATACAAAACCCTGTTCATATGGCAGTTGAAGTAGAAAAATAATGCTGGAATAGTGGGTGGGAAAGGGCTCCTGCTACAAATATACCAGCATGGCATGGCATGTGCACTCAAAGAAAGCATTACTCCTGCTTGCAAGTGGCAAAGTTCAGAAAACGCCAACATATCTATTGGGAAAGAAAACCCAACTTTGTACTCAGGTACAAAAACTGCCAAGTGGCACACTACTACATTAAGGAAAAACACGAGGGTTGAAAAAGTCCGATTTCACTTTGATGGAGTAGTTTACAAAGTACCATTCTCAAGGATTTTTTTTTTAATATATATATCAAAACCTACAACCAATACTTTCCTGGAACTACGGGGGACCAATTGGGGAAACCCTGTCGATTTGGCTGGATCTAAAAAAAGCACTTTCATCTCGCAGCGTCAGATTTCCCTCTTTGTCTTCTCGATTTTGCTGAAGCCGTGACCTTTGTTAAGAAAAACATCGGCGAAAAACAGGAAAACGTGACTGTTTTGTTGACGAGAACTGACAAAAGGTTCGGGATTCATAAAAGCGAACCTATTTTTACTTTGCTCCCAAGTCGATGGAAATATTTCACCTATCCATAAACTAAATGGGTGAAAGAACAACTTATTTTTCAGAGAACTGTGAGGATGTCTAAATCTAATTATTACTCCTACTTGCTGAATCAACACATATCTAAATTCCACTGAGTAAATCAACACATATCTAAATTCCACTGAGTTAGTCAGTCTACTCTAGGCTGGATTAAACAACTGGAGCGAAGCCAGAAAGAGACCGTGTGAAAGACGAAAATATAAAGTTGAGTTGTGAATATCCAGACATACTGAAGGCTCTGCTATGTATTATGCCAGCTCCTGGGTTATAATTAGATTTAGCTAATTATACTTTCCTTGATCTCTTTGGATTAAGAGTATTGCATCAATACTCTAATCCAAAGTTTCAACCTGGTATTGGGAAATGTCTGTTCCCTTCTTTCTTGGGCAGCTTCTCCACATTAGTAAAGAACAGAGCAAACACTCTTTTCCTGGAAGCCTCACATTCAAATCCAGGCCAATAATTCACATTTGAAGACCTTTTGAAAAGAAGTCATTGCAAGATATAGTGAGCCTTTGGTATCCGGTGGGGTTTGGCTCCAGGACCCCGATGGATACCAAAATCCATGGATGCTCGTCCCATTAAAAACAATGGCATAGTACAATGGTGTCCCTCATATAAAAATGGCAAAATCAAGGTTTGCTATTTGGAATTTATATATTTTTGAATATTTTCAAGCTGTGGATGCTTGAATCCACGGACCGAAAATCCATGGACATGGAGGACTGACTGCATTTGTTGGGAAAAAACTTTCATTGGACCCCACCTCTTTAGGTAACGACCGGCCAGTCTCTAATCTCTCCTTTCCAAGAAGGTACTAGCGTGAGTGATGGCAGTACAACTCCAAGCTTTCTTGGATGAAACGGATTACCGGGATCCATTCCAATCTGGGTTCAGGCCTGATTATGGGACAGAAACAGCCTTGGTCACCTTGATGGATGACCTAGGAGTTTATCACACGAGAGGCTAAGTGCCCAAATCTGCTGGATTTAAATTCTGGGAATATGCCGCAAAAGTGGGATTGTTTTCAGACACATTGAGGCATTGAGCATTAATCCAACATTAACCCGCACAGAAAGTAGACAAAATTGGCCGCTTTTTACTTTCGGGAAAATCCTAAAAGTAAAAAGTGGCCGATTTTGTCCACTTTCTGTGTGGGTTAATGTCTAATTAATGCTCAGTGCCCGCAGTGTGTCTGAAAAGGGTCCCGCTTTTGCGGGATTTGTCCACTTTCTGTGCAGGTTAATTTCAGATTAATGCTCAATGCGTCTGAAAATGATCCTGCTTTTGTGGATTTAAATCCCGTTTCTGTACGGGATCTGGCCGATTCCATCCCATGTGATAAACTCCTTACACTGGGAGTTTGATGGGGGATTGGGTCCTCCTGGATCTTTCAGCAGCATTTAGGACCATCGGCCATAGTATCCTTCTGGATGATTTGGCTAAAATGAAGCTTGGGGGAATTGCTTTGTAGTGTTTCTGGTCTTTCTTGGCTGAACATTTCTGAAGGGTGATGCTGGGGGGAACTGTTGTTCAGCCTTTTGGCCACCAGCTGTAGGCTATATTTCAGAGGAGATAAAATATTTCAGGCTATATTTCAGAGGAGATGAAATACAGCATACAGCAGACCACTTCTGACTATTCCTTGCCTAAGAAAACCCTACGAAATTCACGGGATTGACTCAGATGATTTGAAGACACATGCACACGACTGCTGCAGAAGTTGCTTCTTCTAAGTTTCTTGCTTCTTTTAGTTGGTTCACAATACATGTGGTGCTTTTATTGCACTGCTTCTGTGTTATTTATTCATTACCGCAAGAGTCCTTGCGATTAAAGGAACAGCAAGCGAATAAAGGAACAGCAGGGGGGAAGTTTATACTCAGAGTTACAGAATGGATTCAGTGGGAGGCTCATGTGTCTGTGTAGTATCACAAATGTGGGACCAAAGATCCAGACAGGGCACACATACCCAAGATGGCCAAGTGCTCAAGGGAGTCTGGCATGGGCTGGCAAGGGGGCATCTCTTCTGGGCCAAGACGAAATTGGCTACTCCAATTGCAGCCTGAAGGACATGAGCGGAGGAAGACAGAATCACACATCGGGCACTATATAGTCCAGGGGTAGGCAACCTTTTTGAGCCGGGGACCGGGTTGCTGTCCCGCCGACAATTGGGGGGGGGGGCCGAAGCACCATAAATAAATAAATAAATAAATAAATAAATAAATAAATAAAGTTTTTTAAAAAAATTAAAAATATATATGCATGCACACTCTCTCAGCCCCAGAAAAGCCATGGCAAACCCCCTGTGGAGATTTTGCCAAGAAAACCCCAAGAACAAGTAATAACAACAATAATCAATATTATCAT